TTTTTTTTTTGCAATTAACTTAGGAAAATCCCAACTTTTTGTTCTTCTTTGTAATAAGAAACCTGTTAAATCTCAATGTGTTAATACAAGTAAATTTTTCTGAAAATTCGGCTTGGGCCAGTGAATTTTGGTTTGGGTCAGTAGATTGTTAGACCTGGATGACATATGATATTACAGCGATAACATATATAGTATAAGTCTATTGCTAAGAAATCATTTACTGCAATGATTGAAACATTTATCTCATAAAACAAAACTGACACTGATGAGCTGGAACTTTATGTCTATGGTTGAAAAAAACTTACCTCCTGGTCATCTTCAGCATGAGAAGTGACCGAGATAGAGGGAGGCCTGACTGAGTGACCATTAGCATGACCATTGCTCTGCTCTGTGTCTAATGGTGTGGAAGCTAGTGCTCTGTCAGAATCATCAGCTTCATCTGTGAAAAAATAAACTTGTTATTCTTAATTATTACAAGTACAGTTTACAGGATTTATCACATCATTTCCTTCATCAATGTGCAAGTTAATTTAGAATGTCACCATGATGGAAAATCTACAAGAAGAATAAACTTCTGTCATAGGTTGTTTCAAAGGGCTCTTTTCCAATTAAACTATCGTTCTATGTAAACTGAACCAAATCTGCGGGGACTCTTGCTGAATGCAACCAGATTAACAGATTGGCAAGCCTCCTCTTGGCATTAAGTAAAACACAGAAAAGCTGGTACTTTTTCAAATGCCCTAGACACAGTAGGAGTTTTAATGTGATTGCATTTAGCAAGAGTCCCTTCGAAGTTGAATCAATGTACAGAAATATATAGTTTCATTGGCAATAATCCCAAAGACTTTTCTTGCCCTTCGACATTCTGTCTGGTTGACAACTCTTTTATCAATAAAAAAAACATAACAATACTTGCATTTGCATTTTACATCTGTGAAAACCATTATTAATTGGTAGTTATCACTCCATACTTATAAAAATGCTCTCACATAAAATTTTATGATACAAAATTTAAAATACATATGAAAAGCTTCTGTAAAAAAAGAAAAAAAAAATTAAGACCAAACTTCGAATGTTTTGTTCATTTGGCAAAATATGCATAATAAATATCATTTTAACACATACCTTAAATATCTTTAAAAATCCATTAAATGTCTAAAGAAGTTTTCTCATTATATTTACTTTCTTTAAAAAATTAATGAAGTGTCTTATCACAAAACAAGCCATTTTGCCTATAGAAACATCTACCTTGTGATAAGTTCAATCTGACATTATATCAACAACATCATATCCAATTCATGAATAAATGATAACCCATCGTAGCCCAGACCCCAACTTAATGAGGCTTGCAAAGTTGTGTTCCCTGTAGCACCTAAAATATATATGCCTCAATAATTTTTGTTTTGCCTTTGTTTGACAAAAATGTCAAAAGATTGCAATTCAACTTATCAACCCCACCAAAACAGTTTTGTAGGTTTCAAGGCAATTAAACTCAAGGGAGCAAAAATTCCACTAATGTAATTCATAATTCCTTAACATGCAATGTTCTCATTTACAAGCCAAACACAATAAGAGAACAGTTTCTTTGTGGAGAAAGGCAATTTTTTTTCAATTTGCATGTTTTCTCAAAATTGATACGATGATGTAGATCTTCCCCCTCAAAAAAGAAAAAAATGTCACTTCAATTTAAGGAAACATGCCACCTGGTGCTCTACATAAGATCAACAACATTATCCCCAGCTAGCATGATAAAACAAGCTTCCACTTTCTGTTTAAAATAAAGTCAATATAATATTACTACAAGAAGCCAAACACTGGTCTAAGGGGAATATGGGAATACAGATAACAACCAAGCACATGGTATGCCTGTAAGACTATAATGCCAAGACAAACAGGATTCCACAAGGGAGCTTAAATGTCATAGATACCTTGCAGCATCTCTGACTTAACATATGCTTAGGTCCCAACCTTAACACTGTTTCACTTACTGATACACTGCACAACAATGGTATTTTCTAACAGTCTGTTTAACGAAAGACAAACATTGGTTGTATAAAAAATTAAGTGCTCTCTTCTCATGTGGTTTCAAATCTTCATCATGGAAGTTCATCACAACTAGTGCATGTATTATGATATTAGTGTCCAAGTCAAATCTCAACCAAAACAATAAGCATAAAATCACCTCACTAGAAAGCAAAACAACAAATTTAGTGTAACGATTATCAAAAATATAATGACACAACAATTACAAAAATAATAATGAAAAAATAAATATATGAAATAAAACAAAGCATGAAGCCTATTGTCTTCCATCTTTCTCTGGGTGTTTTCTTGTTTCATATAGAATCCCATTTACCTGCTGGAAAAGTACCGGAATCAATGCTGACTGGCTGATGTCGCAGTGGTTTGGGTGGAGGGGAGGAGGAGGGCGAGGGGGCTACAGCAGGAGAGGAGTTATAGCGCAGGAAAGGTCTGGTGCGACTAGAAATAGAAGAAGTACTAGGAGAATCTGGCAGAGAGTGATCAGAGGAAGAAGATTTTAAACTAGTATGATCTCCTATTTTGGATGAATCAGAATTTGTTGGCCCTCCACCACTGAGAGAAAGGTTTAAAGAAAGCTTTCTATCACCTGCCATTTGCTTTTCAAATGATTCTTGCACTTGATGTTCATGAAGTGGGATAGATACTGCTTCAGGTTGTTTAACTTGTGTACTGTCTTCACAACTGACCTTCTCTTGGAGATTGTCTGCATTTCCACTTAATGGAGCATCAGTATCGATAGCTTCATCAAAACTGATGTTTTCATCTGTAACTTCCACTGAGTCATTACTGCTTGATGTTCTCTTTGCAGTTTCCTGCTCATCTGAAATGGCATCTCTTGTTCTATCCAAATCACTTCCCCCTACTGAGGGTTCACTCACCTCCATTAATTCTTCTGCATTATTACCATTTCCTATGGAATTAGCACCAGCATTAAGGTTTTCCTCTCCATCATCATGAATGATGCTATTCCTATTTTCACTTTCAGCAGACAAATGCCGATCATCAAAGCTGATAGTGCTGTCGCTGTCACCTTGACTGTGTTCCCCTTTGCTTTCAAGGGAGGAGCTTTCAGTTTTAACTTTTTCTGCTGCACTGAAAAACTGGGCTGTTTTCTGCCTGGGTTCAGGCTGATCTTCCACCTTTGATAGTGGTTGCTGTTCCTGAAACAGTGGAACAGAAAGGTCCTTTCCTTCTGGTTCTGTGAGATCTTGTGTGGCCTTTCTCTTTGAATGAGGGCTCATGGATTCCCACTTCCCAACCAAATCCGATACATTCAGGTAATCATCTGGACTGTTACCTGAAGTCTCTTTCTTTTCATATCTCCTTTTCTGACCAGAGGTGGCAAGATGTGACTTTGGCTCTGCTGCAGTTGGCGTGACAACTACTTTGACAGGATGAGGAGCTGTGTCTGTTTGATAACTGTTAGTTGCTACTATCTGAGGTTCTGTTACGTTGGCAAGTTTTGACTTCTCAAGTGCTTGGCCACTAGGTGGCGTGGGGGGTGTACCTGTGGCACCCTGTACAGGTTCTGCTGTATCTGGGATGTCTAAACTTACATTTGAAATTGTTCTGTCGAGTTGTTTCAAATTTTGTTCCACCACATCATCAAATGATGCCCCAAAAGAGGCAAAACTACTGGTCTGACCAGAATTGTCCTTTTGGTCTTTTTCATTGTTCTTGGATTTCCTTCTGAAAAACTTCAGTCTTCTCTTTTTGGCTTTTTCTGAAGACTTAGATTTTTCAAAGTGCTTTTCAGAAGCCTGGGCTTTTACATCAGTTGTTTCCAAACTTTTTTCTGTAACTGCATTGTCCGTCTGTCCATCTGTTGTACTAACATCAAATACTTCCTGATGATCACTCTCTTCAGCTGTGCTCTCTGATGAAGAAATAGGTACGCCATCTATGCCTAATTTTGTGTAATATTCAATTATCTTTGCCTTTTGCTCTTCCCCATATTCACTGACCGAAATGGACCTTACAGAAATGTCATCCCCAGGCTCTGTTATCTCAGTGATTATACTCAGAGTGTCTGACATAGCATCTTCCTGACTCGGCTGTTTTTGTCTCATAGAGTTGATTTTTTTGATGGTGTCTGCCATTTCTGTCAAGATGTCATCATCATCCAGTACATCACCTCTGGTATTGGCTTCCTTAAACTTGGACAGAGATTCTTCGCTGTCAAAACTTTGGTTTTTCAAAGAATCTTTCAGTGCATTTCTGAGTTCAAGCAGCATTCTTTCATCCTCATCAGACTCGTGGTTGCTGTCGGAATCGAGAACAGCAGCTGTCTTTTCTGGAACAGCCACATCTTCATCATCTTCTTCAAACAATGGGTTTTCAAAGCTATTACTCTTTGCAAGTGGGTATCTAGGTCTATTAGCTGAAGGCTTCCCTGCCTCATTCTCTTCACCACCCTTTCCCTTCCCTTCATGCTGGGGTAGAATCTGGCCATGGCTAGCTACAGATCTAGAGGAGGGTTTATTAGTAAGCGGGTGGCTACTACTGTGGTTAGACTTAAGAGAAGGATTAGTACCTGAGTGGGGCCCATCAGGAAAGTTAGTTGAGTATGATGACGGTTGCTGTCCCGCCCAGCTATGTTCCTCCTCCCCAGTTTGAGAGTCAACAGAGGAGCGGTCTTCACAACTAGAGTCCACAGGTGGAAGCGATGCTGCAGAAAAAAAAAAGAGAAAACATTAACTGCTTGGGTGCTGAGATTACCCAGACTTGAATGAGTTTATGAGATGTTATAGTTACAGGATAATAAAATAAATAATAATTACAATGTTGAAATTAATTACTGAACATTTTATGTCATGTGTATACAATGGATTTATCAATCACTACATCATAAAACAGAATTAGCAAATGCACTTGTAAATCACTAATCAAATTCAAAAAGCAGTAGTAAAATCTCAAACACCTTCAAAGTACAAGAAGTCCATTTAATCCAGCATTTGTTTTAATTATGAATGCATGAATTATAAAGATTAGAAAGCAGTATAGTTGTATTTGTTGAGCAACACTTGAAAAAGAGATGCAGATTCAATAAATTAACTGAACCATGATACCCCCTCTTGTTACTAGCCACTTGTTGAGTACAGAACTATGACTGAATTGTTGACGGACGGATGGATGGATAGATATGAAGCATTAGAATACTTTGACAAGTTAAAACAATTCAGGGTTTGATAACAGGACATCTTCAATGCCACTTGACTGGCAGTCTTTCCAAGGGTATATATATATTTTTAAATATAAAATATATTAATGTTATATAATGGCCAAAATTTTAGTTTCAATGACAGTTGTGCTTTTTTTTTCAGATGAATATGGGGTCTTGTAAAAAATGACAAGCTTCAAAGCAAAAATGATAAATCAAAACTAAAGCACTTTTAGATCATGCATGCAATTCCCCTATGTCAGTGGTATCACTAATTTGTTAAGCAGCAGCATGAGCTACTTTCATCAGCATGAGCTACTTTCATCACCCTATGCAGTACTCTCCCTCTGAAAATTACAGCATTAAAGTTAGAAAGAAACTGAAGCATGTTTGCTCTTCATAATCATAGGGGCCCATTATAATAAGCAAAATCCTATGAAAAATTTAATTGTGTGCAAATGTACTACTCCAACACTGGAACTGTAAGAAATAAAACTCGATATGAGCCCGATCAATAAAAACCAGGTTCAGCTGAATAAAAAATACCAAACAAATAATGTTTTAAGTGTATATTGTGGATATGGTCATCAAAGCTGGCTGGTTAACTTAGGGACAGGTCTCATGTGGATACTGACTCTGTGGTTCTGACTTGGACTGTAACATCAATTTGGATAAGACTTAACTATCATAATCATACTGCCAAAAAGTTGAGTATTTTATTTAAAAAATGAACAAGGCAGCAAAGCTGTCAAATGTACAGACAAAAAACAGGAAATAACTATGCACTAAATAGGCTACTGTCAATTCTGATGCAAAAGAACATTATGTTAAACTGCAAATTCAACATCAAATTTTAATTATGCTCAACAGGTAATACCAATGTAAGTAAAATGTGTAACAAGTTCACACTTTGAAAATGTATAACTTCCAGAAAAAGAAGCCAATTAGACTGCTTTTCCAACTCAGGCTGCATTTTAGTCCTGTATTTCTTTTTTGAAAGTTTGGCAATCATAAGTAACATGGTTTTCCCATAATGGTCATCATGGCAGCAGCACCCAAAATTGTGTTTTCTTCTATTCTGATGCCATATTACATAATGGTTAACAGCATAATGACCGTCAATTTTTAATAATAAAATATA